ATCATCACCAACAACAGCCCGATGACCCTTTGTAGTCTCTCTATCCTATTCATCTCATTCCTCCTCCTCCTTCCCAAAGCAGACACTGATCTATTTTTTGTCACTATACATTACCCACCCAGCAGCTCTGCGGGAGAAAGACCTGGCGATCTGCTCCCACAAATATTACAGCCTAAGAAACCCTATGGGGCAGTTCTACTCTGTCACATGGGGTCGCTATGAATCAAAATCAATTCGATGTCACCAAACAACAATATACCTTACTTTGCATTTCCTAGAATTTTATACAAATGAAGTAATACAGAATATACTTTTTGTCTGGATTCTTTCACTCAACTTTTTTTAAAATTATTTTGAGATTTATCCATGTTATAGTGTGAGTGATATACATATATACACCCTTCTCACTTACAGACTATATCATTACCCAACATTTCACATTTATAATAGTAAAAAATCGACTATGCAACTATTTTGTGCATTAACAATGTACATCTGCAGTAATGAACACTGAGGTTCAAAGTGAGAGTAGTACTGGCTTTGATGGTTATGTGTCAGCTTGGCTGGGCCATGATTCTCAGTGGTTTGACATTTATATAATGATGTAATTTGGAAGTTATGCAATGATGTAGTCATCCTCCATTTTTGCATAGCACAAATTTTGCATAATGACTTGGTCACTGGAACATAACCATGTCGATAGAGGAGGAGAGGGTCTATATATCCCACAGCTTTTTTGGTCATTCATCTGTTGATGAACATTTGGGCTGTTTCTATATTTTGGCTATTACAAATTAAGCTTCTCTGGACATTCGTATTATGTCTTTGTATGGACATACACTTCCATTTCTCTCAAGTAAATAGCTAGGAGGGGAAAGCCTGGATTATGTGGTGGGTGAACGCAAAATTTCTTTCAAAATTACCAAACTTATTTTAAAGTGGTTGTACCATTTTACTTTCCAACTAGCGGTGTTTCAGAGTTCTGGTTGTTCAACATCCTCATCAACACTTGTCATAATCAGACTCTCTGATTTTAGCCATTACTAATAGGTACGGTGCAAACAATTTGTGCTCGACTAACCTAAACTATTAATCTAATCTAAAGGGTGGTTGTTCAAGCCCGCCCAGCAGCACCATGAAAAAAAGGCCTAATGATCTTCTTCCATAAAGATTATAGCCAGGAAAACCCTATGGAGCAATTCTACTCTGCAATACATGGGGTTACCATGTGTCAGAATCTACTCGATGGCAACGGGTTTGGTTGGGTTTGGTTTTTGGTAATAGGTGTGTAATGGTATCTTGTCATGGTGTTAAAGTCCCTACATTCTAGGACCTCAGCCTTATTGAGGAGAGGTATACAAATAAGGAGAAAATTACAATTCAGTTATGTACTAGTAATGGCAAAAACTACTTCATGAAACCTAGTAAAACAGGAAGTCAGCAGTTAATCTGTTTGTGTCCAAATTACACATTAAACTGTAAAAATGTCAATTCAAATACAAGTCTCAGCTATTCTAAGTGAACTAGAGCATCAAGTGTTAAAAGAATGGGCTCTGGAAAGCACAGCTGCATGGGCATAAGGCCACATACTCAGAAGCGGGCCAATGAGCGGTTTAATGCTCTTCAGTTGCAATCTTGAAATTCTTAATGTTATCTTTGAATTTGTGTTTTGTAAGTGAAGTCCAACAGGACAATGAAACATTTGCCAAGGGCTTGAAGTCTCAGTTCATGTGCAGTCCTGCCTATCATCTTGCTGTTGTTGATAGTTGCTGTGGAGTTGATCATGGCGACCCCATGTGTGCAGAATAGAAATGCTCCACAGGGTTTTCAATGCTATGACCTCCCAAAAGCAGACTACCAGTCCTGTCTTACAAGGTGCCTCTGGGTATAGCCTCCGTGTTATGGATTGAGTTGTGTCCCCTCTCAAAAATTGTGTTATAAATCCTAACCCCTATAACTGTGATAAAGGAGTCATGGTGGTGCAGTGGTTAAGCTCTTAGCTGCTAACCAAAAGGTTAGCAGTACAAACTCATCAGCCACTCCACATGAGAAAAGACTTGGCGAGCTGCTCCAGTAAAGATTTAAGCCTTGGAAACCCTATGAGGCAGTTCTACTCTGTTCTGTAGGGTCACTATAAGTTGGAATCAACTATAGGGCACAAAATTACATACCCGTGTTGTAATCCTATTTGGGAATAGTTTTCTTACGTTAATGAGGCCATACCAGTGTAGGTTGTGTGTTAAATGTAATCACTTTTAAGATATAGAAAGAGAAGATTAGGCACATAAACAAGCAAGCACAAATGGGGGAAAGATAGATGTCACCTGGAGATCTCTAAGGAACGCTTAAAAAGAATGCTAGAGAAACTGAGACAAGGATTTTCCCCCAGAGCAGACAGAGAGAGAGCCTTCCTCTAGAGCTGGTGCCCTTAATTCAGACTTCTAGCCTCCTAACCTGTGAGAGAATAAATTTTTGTTCATTAAAACCACCCTCTCTTAGTTATCTAGTGTTTCTATAACAGAAATACCACAAGTGGATGGCTTTGACAAACAGAAGTTTATTCTCTCACAGTTTAGGAGGCTAGAAGTCCAAATTCAGGGCACCAGCTCCAGGGAAGGCTTTCTCTCTCTGCCAGCTCTGGGGGAAAGTCCCTGTCTCCTTTCAACATCTGTGGGCCCAAAGTTCATTGGAGATCTCCATGTATCTCTGTAACCCAATGGGAATGGGTCCTGCCTGGTGCAATCCCTGGAGTCAACTGAGAGACACCAGGCTTTTGGGAAAGAGAAGGCAGACTTTATTGTAAGCAAGTCAAGCAAGGAGCTCAGAGACTAAGTCTCAAATCAACCTCCCCAAGGTTGAGGATTTTAGGGCAGTTATAGGGTTCTGGATAGGGAACTTATGCATAATTCATGAAGTTTCTGAGAATAGGCGGGCAATTTCGGGAACTAATTAACATGTATGGGGGTGCAGTGGGGATGCACTATGACAGCTGGGGGGTATGACACATGAGGTTTATCTAAGGACAGCTTTGCGGCTTATCGCTCATGTGGGAATGCGGGGGGGAGGGCAGTTGGTCAGTAGTGAAGTGGCCTGGAGCAGAGAAGCAGCAGTTTAAGATGACCTTATGTTGTTACACAGGCAACACAGAAATGTCTTATCAGGAACCCAGAGAGCCTGGCTGGGATGGGAAGAGGAGGGGGAATAGTTTAACCCTGTCGGTTACAGCTTGGCATCAATCTTCCCCTGGATTTAAGAGGCTCTCAGTGCAGGGAACCTGGGTCCAAATGACACACTCCGCTCCTGGCTCTTTTTTCTTGGTGGTATGAGGTCCATCCCCTCTCTGCTCACTTCTCTCTCCTTTTATCTCTTGTAAGATACAAGGTGAGTAAGGGTGTCACTTAAGTAATGGTGTGACTTAAGTCTGGGTGAAACCTGAGTAAGGGTGTGACTATCTTCTTGTAAGGCTGTTACTCAAGATACACCCCACACTGATCCTGCCTCATTAACATATAAAAACCAAACCCAACCCAGTGCCTTCGGTCGACACATAGCAACCCTATAGGACTTAGCAGAACTGTCCAATAGGGTTTCCAAAGCTGAAATCTTTACAAAAGCAGACTGCTACATCTTACTGCCGCAGAGGGGCTAGTGGATTCGACCACCAACTTTTCAGTTAGCAGCTGAACACTTAATCGCTGCACCACCAGGGCTCAATTAACATATATAGAGCTTAGGATTTACAACAGACTACAAAATGGAGAATAATTATATCAGATCATAAAATGAAAAACAACCACACAACACTGAGAATCATGGCCTAGCCAAGTTGACACATATTTTCGGGGGGACACAATTCAATCTATGGCACACCCACTTATGGTATTTCTGTTACAGCAGAACTAAGAAACTAAGACATTCCTCAAATGGGTCCTCCAGCTTCCCACTTCCCTGCCCGTGACCAGCCAACTGCTGCCACTGTGCTCAGATGCACACACTCCTCTTTGAGTTGCTGGGGACCTGTGAGGATCCGTACTGGCCACACCAGTATCCCTGTACTTGAGGGAGTACCACATTAAATACCAAAAAAAAAAACACTCACCATGACTGGTCAAGAGAGACCATGGAGGAAAGGAAGAAACATTTCTCTGCTGTTTGAACAAGGGGTCCTACATTTTCATTTTTGTACTGTGCCCTGCAAATTATGTAGGAGGCCCTGGAATCTTGCAGCAGTGGTCTGCCCCACCTGAACTTGGCTTCTCTGAAGTCAATTTCCGCATCTGTAAAATGAGAGTAACATTTCCTTCTTTGTTGGATTTTTGTTAAGATTTTGGAGATAATTCATGCAAAGCGTCTGACCCTGTTCTTTACTCATTATAACAGTCAATACTAGAAAGTAATAAACCATGAGTTTAAAAAAAAAAAAAAAAGTTCTTTGAGTCCATTCCCACTCATGGCACCCCACGTTAATGGATTAGTTAACAACTACTAGATTATCTAATTCAGACTCACTCCCTCATACTTTCGCAGCCCAAAGCACTTCCCACAGGCAGACCTAACAAATGTGCATTCTGAATCTTCTTCAAATGTTCAATGTGTAAGTGTAAACTTTCTTATAGTGTGCAGAAAAATATGTCCACATCTCAGCTATGAGGCTGGAACAAAAAGCTGAGAAGATCTAATCGGTCGGACTTGCTAGAAAGCCCAGCAATCTAGATACAAATTTGGAGCAAAAATCGGTGACTCATATGTGCTTGAACTTTTCACAAAAGCTCTTTCACTCCCATACAGAGACGAACACCAAACTCCCGACAATGCCATGGGCAGTCTACAAGCGAACATAATAAATGAAAATCTTGGACAACTTCTAAAAGTAGCAACGAACACCTTACACAGCGCCCTCTAGAACGCCTGCTCGCGACTGCTCTCCGCCACAATACCCGATTCCGGCGCGTCGCCTCCTGCGCCGGAAGTTGCTGTCCTTCAGTTCGGTTCTTCCCCTCAAAGCGTCAGCGTACTTTACATCAACGCGTCGGCGCGTAACAGCCGGCGGATGAGTTTTGGCCAGAAGAGGCCACCGTTGAGGGGCGCGGCGACGCAGCCGCAGTCTCGCAGACGCCGTTCACGTGCCGACAGAAAAGCCGAGTTAATTCCGCAGATCATCTGCGAGCTACTATGGCTCAGCCGGGAACTCTGAACCTCAATAATGAGGTGAGCAACAAGCCTGGGAGCATGTGGGGCTGACATGTGGCGTTTACATTTAGGGTCCTCAGAACCGGCTTCTCTGCGTCTTTCCGACGTGGGTGTGATCTGCCGATTTGAAACTCCGAAGCCGGGGGTGGGGCAGGAGGAGCTTTCTGATGGACCTAGGCGAGGTTTCCTGAATCTCCGAGCACGGGAACGTAACCCCCCTTGAGAGTTTTTAGGTGACTAAATCAAGAGGCATACCTCTGGCTCTTAGGCCCCACGATTTTTACCTGTGAGATTTTGGGAAGATCATTTACTCTTTATGTATAGTGTTTTCATCTGTAAAATGAAGCTTATGATAGTACCTTTCTATTGCTTTTGGTAAAGACAAATTCAAACAAGGTCAATCTGTGATCTCTATTACACCACTCTCCCCTCAACCTGTGTACTTCGGCTTTACTGACCTTCGTCCACTAACTAGCCTAGTCCTCTCCAGATCTTTTGTATATGCTGTTCCTTTTACATGAAACTCCTTTTTTCTCTGATTAACCATTTAATACTTATTCCTACTTCAGTTGTCACTTTCTCAAGGAAACCATTTTTGGTATTCATTTAACCCTTTTGAAGGCTTGTATAGCATGATTTACTTCTTTTTAGCGCTTGTTATAGTGGCTTTGTGCATGTGTATATGTGTATGTGAGTGTGAAAGAGATATTCTTATCCCCCCTGCCCCCACTTGACTGTAAATGTTTGCGTACCGTTATATCCCCGGTGCCTATCTGTTAAGTGAATAACTTGGGCTGTCATTTTTATAATCTTTAGTAACTGTAGATTAGCTCTTCTTAACTGGATTTCAGGAATGTATTTCAGAGATCGTACAGCTACCTGGTGGCGCAGTGGTTAAGAGCTTGGCTGTGGTCGGCGGTTCAAACTCACCAACCCCTCCATGGGAGGAAGATAATGGCAGTCTGCTTCCGTAAAGATTTACAACCTTGGAAACCCTGTGGGGCAGTTCTACCCTGCCCTGTAGGGTCACTATGAGTCGGAATCAACTCGATGGCAATGGGTTTGGGTTTTTGATATTGTCTGGAGTTCCTGGGTGGTGCAAATGGCTAACGCTTTTGGCTGCTAACCTAAAGATTGGAAGTTCAAGTCCACCAAGAGGTGCCTCAGAAGAAAGGCCTGGCGATCTTCTTCCAAAAAATTAGCCATTGAAAACCCTGTGGAGCACAGTTCTACTGTGACACTCACTGTGAGTCAGAGTCAACGCCACACAACTTTTTTTTTTTTTAATAGAGTTATCTTTCGGATGGTGGTACTTACATATGTGATTGATTTTATAGGAACCTTTGTTTCATAATTTGGAATTATAGCTTTCTCTTTTAAAAAGTCACCTTACAGTCTAATTTAAAATGTACTTAATTTCTCAGAATGTCTTGTGAAAATAAAAGCCTGCTTGCAGAGGCCCCAACTGTATTATGCTTTCATTGTCTCCTACATGTGGTAGTTCTGTCTGAAAATTTCACATCCCAGGATAAAGGCTAACTCCAGGAACTTAAAATATGTTTATGCTTATGAAGTAATGTAAAAGTTTATCATTACTTTTTGTTTTAAAATAAACCCATAATTTTTTACTTGGTTTTATTATTGCACATTTTATTTTCTCGAGTACTTTTTGTGTATTTTGAAGAGAAACTGTTTCAGTGATTTATTGTAGCAGCTTCCCTAACATCTAGCATAGTACCTTGTCTGTAGATAATAAGTATTTGTTAGACAGATGAAAGTATGGATAGCAGAGCTTGAATTGTTAAGTATCAACCAATGTTCAAATGACAGGGAAAATCCCACCCATTAGAGAAAGAAGGAGGCACAAATGACAATAGTGCCATGGCATTTTTAGTGAGCAACGAATTTACAAAATTACAGCTGAATTTGCTCCAGTCATCTGTTTCTTTAGGTAATAGTGATATGTAAAATTTGGATTTAAATGAAGCAATCTCATGAGGTCATACTGTAAAAGATAATATCAAAAACTGTGTGCTTATGAAGTTACGAAACTCCCCTGCCATAATTGGACATACTTTTTAGTAATACTTTTTAATTTTTTTTTTTTTTCCCCCTGAAATGGTAATTCGGGATTCATCGTTAAGAAGAGAGCCAGTTTCTGTATTTGGTTGTTAAACTATTCTGTGAAATTTTGCTAGGTGGCAGTATATTCTCAGTAATAGTTAAATTGTAGCTAATCCCTAAGCATCTCTAAATTTTTTAATTGTTGCTCATCAGAAATAAAAATAAGCCTGATTCAACCATAAATTATCCAAATGGTCAAATTATAAGTTCTCTTATAGTTAATATTGCTAATATGAAATAGTTCAAACATATGGAAAATAATATAACAAATGTCCTTGTAATCCACCTACATAAATGTCAATGGTATCCCATATCCTACTGCCTAATTCCACCCACCTTCTTTTTCACCTCAAAGATAGTTATTACCTTTTTGGTGTGTGTTCCTCTCGTCCATAGTTTTCATAATTTTAGTGATGTGTATTTATACACAGTGTATAGTATTTTGTGTATTTTTAAGCTCTTCATATGTTGTATATACATAGAGTCATGTTATACATATTCTGCAAGTTAACTTTTTATCAAACATTATTTTTGAGGTTTATCCATAGTCATACATTCAGATCTAATATATTGACTGAAAATACTATGTTGCTTTATGTATATAAAGTATTTTATCTCTTATGCAATTTTTTATAAGAATGATGCAATGCATAATCTTGTGCATAGTCTTTCCCTATTGTTGGAGATGTGTCTTACGGATAGATTCCTTGAAGTGGGAGTTTTGTTAGGTACTGCCAAATTTTCCTGCAGAAGAAAAATACCAATTTGCATTCCTCCCAGCAGCGTATGAGAATGTCTGTTTCCTCACAGCCTTACAAACAGAATGTGTTGTCATATTTTTTAGTATTTGCCAATCCGATAGGTGAGTAAAGAATAACCAGAAATTTTAATGTATTCTAAGAAACACAGATACACTCATATTTTTCATAGCAGTGCAAGCTCCCCAAGAGTTGGTTTAAAGTAGCATGTAACTTTGTCCATGGTCCAGGTCTGCTCTCAGCTTTGTAGATCAGAAACTTGTTATCATTGTCACTCCAAAAGTATAACTAATTCTCTCAGAAGCAGACACACATTAACCAGGCTTGTAAGAAGCTGTGTAAATGAGAAAGCTAATGTAAGCAGTACTGCTCCTAGTGTAAAAAATAGAGTTTTTTTTTTTTTTTTTCTAATGGGCTGCATGTAAGGTAGAACGACAGAAAGGGGTTTTAGTTGTACGATTCAAATGTTGGGCTATGATCCATCCATCCCAATAATTGAATTTTTTCAATACAGATCAGATTTCTCAAGTCTGAGCTGGGGAACCTTTCTTTGGAATCTCCTTAAATTAGACACTGCCAACTTTTGCCCCTATGTAGTTCTCTTTTCTGTGCTTATGTTGACTCTTCCCCATGTTCTTTTCTCAAGCAGAGATATTAGCTTTCCAGTTATTTATGATCGTAGTTTTGTCCTGCCTACCCAAGACTTGATCCACGTTACCCTGCCTGTGTTCAGATTTTACCAGGTTAACTCTGAGGGCATCTGTATGTGTGGATTCTAGATGACACCTTCTGTCAGCACATGCATGTTTGTGTGTGTGTGTGTAAGTCTTAACTTCTTTTCTTCATGTTTACCTACTACTGAAGACCATCTGATCTTACAGATTATAGTAAATGCATTCTTTTGCTGCTTGGAAGCCCTCAGCTTTGGCTTGTCAGTCTTGGTGTTAATGGCCTACAGGTTTTTCCTTCATTTTCTGTCTTCAACCCACCACTTCTACTTTCATTTTATTTCTTCTTTGTCAGCAGATTTCATTTCCTTTTTATTCCTTTTTCTTTCTTTCCCTTCCAAACAATGTCATACTCTTTTCACTATTCTAACAAAGATAGTTCTGCTTACTTTTGGTTGGGGAATTAGAGTGTATTGCCCTTAAGTAATGCATTGGGCTTCTGGCTATATTGGGTATTTTTGTTGATTTCTAGTTTATCTGTCAGCCAACTTCGTAATTCCTGGGTGACAAATGAATTGGCAACTTTTTAAATCCTAAATAGAAGACTATTAATTGCTCATCAGTTTTGCAAAAAATAAAGCTAAGTGCTTGGAAAAAAACACTAGAATGGGCAGTTATGAGAAAAATAACATTTTAATATCATTTTTATATAAAGTGACTACGAATATACTTATTTTTATACACTTAAATTTTTCAAATTTTTCTATGGCCTGCTCACAAATGCTGAAAAAAATAAATAAGCTAGAAAAGCATTGTTTGGTATTGGTGTGAAACTAAGTATATGAAGCATTCCCTTTGCTTTTAGTATCCCCTTATCTAGTAATGACAAACATTTAAAAAAAAAAAAAAAACCCTGTTGCTATCAAGTCAATAGTGTCTTATAGCAACCACATGGGACAGAGTAGAACTGCCTGATAGGGTTTCCAAGGAGCGGCTGGTGAATTCGAACTGCCAACCTTTTGGTTAGCACCCAACTTTTAACCACTGCACCACCAGAGCATCTACTATGACATACATAGTACTTTTTAAATTGGAGTTTTAAAACTGTTTTAAAACTTTTTTAAAAGAGTTTTAAAAGTTTTAACGTGGAGTTTAGCTTTCCCATGTTTGGAAAGTAACTAAGGACCAACTCTGCACGCTGCTGTTTATGTTTATTACCTGAGCTTGGTTAGCAGTGGTTAACAAATGGTATATAATCATTTAATGCACCTGCGAGGTACAGTGTTTGGTAACATTTGCTAACATATTTAATGCGTATCTATCACACTTGCTATTTATCATGAATGATTTTTAACTTTGAATAAATGCATTGTAAACCCGTTATAATGCTGTTTATAAATGTAGCGGTTCTTTATTTTTCACTTAAACCTAGTCTAAATGGCTTTTCATTTATGCAGAGTATAACTTTTTTCTAAATGGATCTAACTGAAATTTCCAAAGATTTTAAAATACCTAATGGGAAAGGAACCTGATTACTCTACATTCTTTTAATATAATATGCATTTGGAACAGTGAATGAACAAGTGACTTTTACTGCACTTCTGGTCATTTAACAAACATTTATTGAACACTTACATATGCCATGCATCATCTTATGTATTAAGATGCAGTGTTGAGCAAAACCAGATACTTGCCCTTCATGGATTTTATAGCCTAGTGGGGGAAAGACACATTAAACAAAATCTGACTAAAAGTAAAATATTAAAATATTAGCAATGGTGAGTTTTAGAGGTACTGGCACTTGGTGTGCTTATAATGGGAGATTTTTGACCCAGTTAGGGAGAACGGGAAAGACTTTCCTGAGAAATGACAATTGAGCCAAAACCAGAAGGATGAACAGATGTTAACTATCATAAGAAGAAAGGCATTCCTACCAGAAGATGGGATGCTCTGTGGTAGGTGTAAGTATAGTGAGGTCAAGGAATTATAAGAAACCCCATGTGGCCATAAGAGCGATTATAAGTCACTGAAGAGAGTTAAGCAGATCTAAGTCATCAGATCTGTGTGTTAAAAAAAATTCTGTGTTGTGTATAACTGATTGGAGAAGGGTATGAGTGGGTGTAGAGAAACCAGTTGACAGTAACTCAGCCAAGAGAGCTAGGAGGTAAAGATAGAAAATAGTGGTACAATTTGAGAGAAATAATCAGGAGATAAAATCAGCAGAATTTGGTGATAGAGTCATTGTGAGGTATTTAGAAAAACGCTATCCGTAATGAGCCCTAGGTTTCTGGCTTTTATAACTGAGAAGATTGTTCCAGTGCCTGAAATATAAAACACCAAAAAAGAGATCCAGGTTAAGGGTAAAAACATGAGTTAAGGTGTGAGTTTGCAGAGATAATGAAAACACTCAGAAGGAAATGTCAAGTAGGCAGTGGCACATTTAGGTCTGGAGCTACTAGGAGAAATCTCAGCTGAAGATAAACATTTTTGAGTCATCTTTGTTTAGATGGCAATCGATAATATTCAAAAATGAGATCACCTAGGGCTAAAAAGCATATTGTGAAAAGAAGAGTTGGCCTAGGACTACCCCTTTGTGATGGTTAAGATTATGTGTCAACTTGGCTAGACCATGATTCTCAGTGATTTGGCAGATATTATGTAATCATTGTCCGTTTGATGTGAGCAGCTAATCAGTTGAAATCCAGTCAGTTTCCTCGGGAAGGTGTGGCCTGTATCAAGTATATATGGGTGTTCTGGCAAAGCCCTCTCTGGATCCTGCATCCGACTCATCATCCTCTGACCTCTGGTTCTTGGGATGTGAGCTAGCAGCCTTCCACCTGACCTGCAGATCTTGGGGTTCACCAGCTTCCACAACCACATGAGTCAGGAGAGGCCTCCAGCCTGACACCTGACCCATGAATTTGGGACTTGGCAGCCTCCACACTGTGTGTGCCACTTCCTTGAGATAAATCTTTTTCTATTTTTATATGTATATATACGTATTTGTGTATGTATATATATTTACATATACAGACATATACATATGCACACTTACACATGTGCTTCACTGGTTTTACTCCTCTAGAGAACCCAACCTAAGACACCCTTGTACTGTATTACGTTTTCCTTGAACTGTATTATTACATTTTGTGGCTAGGTACAGGTAGGTGAACCTTCAAGGAAGACCAAGGTGAATTGGCTAGAAAGGAGGAATACCAGGAGAGTAGTCTATCATGGAAGCCAAGGGAAAAGTGTTTCAAGAAGGAGGAAGTGACCAACAGTGTCAGATGCTGCTGAGATCTCAAGTAAAATGAAGTTTGGAAAATTCTCATTGGATACAGGGACTTTTGTGAACCATTGATGTCCTTAGTGACAGCTCTTTTAGTGAACTGGTGGGAATGAAATCAGACTGGAATTATGTGGCATGCAGAAATGGAGATAGTGAGTTTAGACTTCTCTTTCTAAAAGTTTGGCTGTAAAGGCAATGAGAAAGAGAAGGTGTTCCTAGTAAATTGCATAGTGAGAACATACTATTTGCTTTTCTTTACTGAATATGACTCAAGCATGTTTAAATATCAGTGGGGAAAATCCACTTAAGGGGAGTAGATTGACAATGCTAGAGTAAAGGGACATTCTATAGAAAGGATTCTTGGAAGGCAGAAGAGGATGGGATTGAAAGCATAGTTAAAAGATTAATCTCAGACAGTTATAAGGGTATTTCTTATATTGTAGCTATTAATAGAAGAGAATTGGTGATACAAGTAAATTTGCATTCATGATAGTAGAAAGATGATGGTTCCCATCTGATGTTTGTTTTCTCCATGAAGTTGAAAATGAGAGGGGAGGAGGGAGGTCAGAAACTTTAGGAGAGTGGGCAAAGGTTTAAAATGGTCATTGTAGAGTGAATTGACCAGAAAAATATGATAGGATTGCTAGGATGTGTGAGAGCCCATTTGAGATTTGTTATGATTAAATTTTAGTAGGTAGAATATCTCAAGTAGTTTCTGGCTACTGGGGTGCTGTCATGAAGAACTCAAAATGTTTTCATCAGGATTAAGTTTTTCCAACCAGAGGGATAGGAGAGCTTAGGGTATTGGCAAGTGTTGATCATGTACCTAAGCCAGGTGGAAGAAGGCAAATTAAAAAGAAAAGGCTTATTTAAGAGAAAGTATAGGGATCAGAGGCTGGTGGTCCTAATGAAGTCAAAGATGGTGGTTGTGGGTGGCTGCTAGAAGTTGTGATTACAGTGTGGAATATTTAGTGGTCTTAGAATCATTAGTGGTTTTAGAAATGAAGTAGTTATGAGTGCTGACAAGGTCTGAGTGTGACCATAGAAGTGAGTGGCTGAGATGGAATAGATTAGGTTTTTAGAAATGAGAAAAGTCAAGAAGTAAAGATGTAATATTGGATGGGTTATCCAAGTGGACATCCAAGTCACCCAAGATGATGGCAAAACTTAGGGTGGAAAGAAAGTTTAAGTTGAGTGCCAGTATCTTCAATGAATGAGGGGGTTAATGACAGTAAAGAAGGGTAAGAGAAGGTGTTATAGTCAAATGCCGAGAGCTTCAAAGATTTTGAAAAAAAAAATGATGTTGGTATTATTTTGACAAGAAGAGTTTGAAGGATTGTGTGTGCCAGGTACTCTTGCAAGGCACAGAAAACACTCTGAATATTGCAAGACAGTGTCCTTTGGGAGATCCAAGTCTGTAAAAAACAACTGCCACATGAACAGTGGCAGTACGGTGAGATAGATTTGTAAGAGAACCTACAGAGTATTTTGGGGACCCCAAGAATAGAGTAGTTATCTCTAACTGAAGAGACTGGGGAAGATTTTATAGGAAAGAATATGTCTAAACTGAATTTTATGTAATTCTTCAAGTGAAGAAGGGGGAAAAGGACATTCTGGGAGGAATTATAAGGTGTATGTCTCCTCACCATGATAGACAAAACATAAACTCAAAGTGATAACATCCCATTGTATTAGTGAATGTTGTTATAACATGTAGTTGTTTATAACTAAAATATTTCTATGTTTTGGCCAGTAACTGTATTGTAAGAGTTCAGCATTGTTCTGTAGCGGGAAGATTTAAAACATGGATTTGTGTATGTGAGCACAAATGTGCCTTTGTGTTTGTGGAGTTTCTTTTAAAGTTACAACTGAAATAATTTATTACTAAAAAATAAATGCGAGTAATGTAAAATCACTTTCATGCTTTTACTTTTGTTAATACAAACACTCATTCAATAAATTAAATTCTACCATTACAGATGGAGCTCTGTTATAAACCGTAAAGATACAAAGGTAAATATAGCAGTCTCTGATCTCAGGGAACTCACAGTTTATTATATTCCAAGTCCAACAAACTATAATATTAAAATCACTAATCACTGGGAATGCCTTGACTTTTTTTTTGTTTTGATAATAGTTTGTTTCTCTTAAGCCCTCAGACACATGTTTACACTATTGATTTATTCATCCACTGTTTACAGAAGTTTGATTTCATCAAACTGAATATAGTTAGGCAAAAATTTGGTTAAAGTGGTAGGCTAAGTCTAGAATATTGAGACTGAAAATGAAAATGTGTTTATTACTGAATTAAGTGCCTTTCTCATTTTGACTTTATTCCTCTAAGGTCGTGAAGATGAGGAAAGAAGTGAAGAGAATCCGAGTTTTGGTTATCCGAAAACTTGTCAGGAGCGTTGGCAGACTGAAGTCAAAAAAGTGAGTCATTTAAAGTAATAGTCCTGTAACTTATAAAATGTTAAAAGTTGTTTTTATTCAGTATTTATTAAATTTGAGTGTGGGACCTAGAAGAATAATTAAATATCTTACTCATACTGTATTTTATATGTAGAGCGATATCTGAGTAAGATAAAGTGTGCTGTGTTAGGCTATCCTTAACATGGTTTGGACCATGTTAAGAGACAAGAATTCCTCTGCTGTTTTTCAGAATTCTCTGTTTTTTTTCAGAATGAAAGTCCTTTAGGACTATTTATGTGTTTTATGTTACTAGAATTTATTTTAAGATGTTGATAAGATTTTACAAATCTAATAACACCTCGAATCAGTTATGAAAATTTTATATCACTTTTTTCTTGGAATTGTTAATTAATTTGAAATTGTTCATACTTTGTGGAAGTGTTTACCAAAACAATGTCTTCCATATAACTTTTGGAAAATTTTTGTATTTTCAGTGTCACTAGTGTTAAAGTATTTATAGTTCTTATTGCTTTAAGCATGAATACCTAACAAAGTCTTCAGATGTTTTGTTCTTGATTAGTTTCCTGTTTCATAAATCTTCAAGATGATATCCTTTCTCACTGATAAAATCAGATATTTATGGTCTCTATTTTTTAATTCTGGAGAACTTAGATTTAATAAAATTATATCTAAGTTTTCATTTTAGCTTATGAAAGTTATATTACATTAAATACAGTGTGTGACCGGTTTATTTATTAAAAGTACTATTGACCTTATCATTAATGAATCAGGGAAGACAAACTATCTACCAGTGGTAACAATCATTAATATGTAATACCAGAACAATGCTTATTTTTGTCAGTTTCAAACACTCGAGTTTATGAAATTGGGGTGTGTGGTTTTTCGTTTTTTGGAGGGGCACAGGTTGGCAGAGTGTTTGTTATTTAAAAACTTATTATGTTTTTCTAAAAGAAACAGACTTCTTACAGGATATGAATCTAAAATCAATGTCTTCCCTGGCTAACTATTATGTTTTTGCAGAGGTACTGAAGATGCACTGTTAAAAAACCAAAGACGGGCACACCGATTACTTGAAGAAATTCATGCCATGAAGGTAAGGACTTGTGTTGGTGTGTATGTGTATATGTTGCTGTGTCTCCTGTCAGTCTACATTTTATGTGTATATGGTATTATTTATTTAAATATTCCTGAGTATTGCATAAAATCTAACTTGTATGGGTCTGTTTGGTGAAGAATATAACACATATAAAAATTTTTAATATTTTTTAGCTTGCATTTTTCCATATTTTTTACCGAATTTGTAAAAGTGCTAGACTAATTTGAGTCAAATCTCTGCCAGACTAAACTCGTATATGTTTAATAATGCCTTATGGCTCAGGTTTTTATTTTTACAGTAACTTTTTAGGCATAAGGTCTGTTACTTTGAAGAATTAAAGCGTTCATGCTATCTGGGAATGTTGATAGTAATACTGGTGGCTGACATCATGCTCTGCCTATTGCCAACTCAATAAATTTTTGTGTGGTGATGTCAGCATTTTATTCAGCTCTTCAGTAACTTAAAATAAAATTAGTGTTGGACCAACGTGATCTGTATTTTTATTTCTTTCAGCCAGACTCTTCACTAGCATTATTTTTAGGTCTTCTTGCTGCTCTTACTTTGTAGAAACTTTCATTTACCAAATAACATACCATTAAATGTCTGAGAGACTGTTTTATTACAGAACTTAAAAACAACATTTGGTACCAGCAATTATCTTAATTGCAGGGTCATTTTTGCATGTATGTTTGACTATTATATTTTGGTATAACTTCAAGTTTTGAGTTAGGTAAAAGAGCATGAGAATTCCCTAACAATATTTTAATGAGTTAGATAATCAAATCTTTTCATTGTCTTTCTTCCTTTTAAAGGGATGGAAATAATTTTTCTGTAAAGAATGTAAAGTATTTTATAGGTCAAAGTTACTATGGTTAATCGGAGTAGAAACAGATTTAGGAAATGATTCTTTGGAATGAGGTATATTTGTTTTTTGTGGATTTTTTGTTTATATTTTTCCTAAGGGCTGCACAACTCATGGAATCCATCTATATCTTCTCAAAGTCTTAATCCCTTTTTTTAATCCAACGATTAGGTCAAAATACTCTATTTTTCTCTTCGTTATATTTGTGTTCATTCGGTTTGCATCTCATTTAGGCTTTTTCATATACAGACAGTCTCCGGGTTGCAAACGTCTGCCTTATGCACAACCGTAGTTACCAGCCAACCCTTGTAAAACCTATTATGTTAAAAATTCAAGGTACATACAGTGGGACGCGCATCAAAACGTTATTATTAATGTATTATTACGTTAAAGATGTTTTAGTGTATCTGAAAGTGTTTCTTTAATGTTTTTATACATCGAAAAGTACACTGTATACTCTATACTAAGACATACATCTGACTGACTAATGTTAGATACGAACCATACCTAACTGTTCCGACTTACATACAAATGTGACTTAAAGTTTACTGACTTAGGAACGGAACTCATTTGTAACCTGAGTACTTCCTGTACTTTTTTTCCCCCCTCAAATCCCTGTGAGAAATACAATCTTTAGTGATTTTTTATTTGAGTCTAACACTAAGATAAGAAGTTATGATTTATCTCTGTCTCTTTCACTTTCTCTTAACCAAGGTCCTCACTAAATTACATTGCCTACCTAAATTTTTCCCTGTAATTTCTTCCAAATAGTCATTTTTGTAGTCCTAAATTATTCAGAGGCTTTGAGCTTCTATATAATTGCTGATTTTATTTTACTATAGAAAGGATGAAGTATATAAAATAAGTCTATATGAAGTGTATGTAAAGCCTGAGAACAAAAGAATACATACTCTTTAGAGTGCTTCTTTTTGTATTTTTCAGTAATGAATTTGATTTAGTCAATTAGAAAGAGAAGTTGTCCAATTTGATCTATATCTAAAGCCGTTTTCTGTTTTTCTTAAATCTTATAAGCAAAGGTAAATCTGATTCAGTGATAATGTTCATAGGTTTACAAGATTTCTGTGTCACACCGTATTTTTTGTTTTTTTCCTTCTGTTTTTCCTTATGATTATATAAGACCATCGTGGAATTGTTGTCTCATAAAAAGCCAAAATTCATAGCCTGTGTGTTCCTTGAATTCACCAGATTTATAGCAATTATATTTCCTGAATTTGTGGCAGTAGTTTTATAGGGTGGTCTGGGTTGACTGCTCTGACTTCAATTTCTTTTATAATGCCATTTAAAAACTGGATTGAATTTAAATATAAAAACCAGAATAAAAAGAGTACCAGAAAGACTGTATGTTTGCTCTCCTTAAGTGTTAGATTTCATTTCTCATTTATGCTTCTTTAACAGAGTTGGCTTTCTTTTCTAAAAGAAGCAAATACAGTGCACTTTTTTATTAAAAAGTTATTTGTAACTTTTTAAGAAAGTATATATCACAGATATGGAAGTATCAAAGAAATAGTCACAAAAGACAAAACTCACAGTCGTAATTAAATTTGAAGGAAAACCTCTGCTTATTCTTTTTTCCAGAATTTTCTTCTTGGCTCATATACCACTACATTTTTATAGTCTTGTTCATGATACACTGTCCTATACTTGTTTTCAATGATAATAGGGTATTTGTTGCAAGATGACTTCCTCATGAAGAAAACCTGAGATATTTTTAGAAATGGGAGTTTGTTTTTTCTGGACAAGACAAAAATGGCCTGATCTTTAGGCTATAAAATCATAGGGTCTAACTCTATAGACTCTATAATGTATGAATCCCAAGTCTTTGCTGCTTTTTCTAATAGTATTCGTACTTCTAGTTTTGATAGCTTTTATAAATACTGGTTTCTGATATGGTTTCTTTGTTTTTGTAAGTTAAAGTAACTTACCAACATTTGTAAATCCCTTAGTTATTTAGCTGAAGAGGAAATGGTAAAATTAAGGCATGCACTGAAATCACTCAAAATGGGCAGGAAATCCCATCCACAATAATAAAGATAATAACTAGCTTTTATTGAGCATTTGGAGCCCTAGTGGCACAGTGGTTAAAGAGCCTGGCTGTTAACCAAAAGGTCAGCAGTTCGAATCTGCCAGCTGCTCTTTGGAAACCCTATGGGGCAGTTCTACTCTATAGTATAGGGTGGTTATGAGGTGGAACTGACTTGACAGCAGTGGGTTTATTTTGTTTTTTTGGATTGAGCATTTATTACATGCCAGGTATTATACTATATTTTATATGCACCTTATGAAGTAGATTTTATTATTATCCCTAACTTACAAAATATGAAACTGAGACTTAGAGAGGTTAAGCAACTTGTCCAAGTTCAGACAGTTGTTTAGTAGTGGACTCCATTTAAAAAAAAAAACAAAAAACAACCAAATCTGTTGTTGTCGAGTCGATTTTAACTCAATAGCAACCCTATAGGACAGAGTAGAACTGCCCCATAGGGCTTACTGTGGGTAAGGCTGTAATCTTTATGGAAGCAGATTGCCACATCTTCCTCCGTGGAACGTTAGGTGAGTTCAAACCACTGATTGCTTAGCAGCCGAGTGCTTAACCATTGTGCCACCAGGCCTTATCATAACTTACCATAAAGCTAATGGCGTTAGCCAGTATTTAGTAAGGTAAGAAATACCTGAAATATTTCTAGATTCCCCATCCCCCGGCACACTAACAGCAGCCCCACACTCTAGAACAGAGATGGTGAACATCCAGGTCTTAGAAGCCTAGGAGGTTGTGGCCTCACACTTTGAGATCCAGGGGACTGTGACCCTACCCTTTGAAACTGAGAAGGCTCTGCTTCCCATGCTTCTTTCAGTAGCTCTGCTGATCTCCAAGCTGCTCCAGGGATGGTTCTTTTCTTGGAAGACAACAGATGTAGCTCCTTTGGTCTGTTTTCTGCCTGTAGAATTCTAAGAGGTAGACAGCATTCTTTTCTTTTTTCTTTCCCTGTCCCTTTCAGTCTGATGTGTTGGGTTTTCTGCTGTGGTAGTTAGTCACAGGCTTAATCTCTTTAACAAAAGACCGTGTAACCACACCCTTGGTGAACATTCCAGGACACGTGTCCTTATTTGTTGTTTTATTTTCATTTTGCACGGTTTATTTTGAAGTCCACATCTTTCCTCTCGCATTTTACTGTGAGAGAAACCGTGCGACTCCTTTAAGATCTTGCTTAGAAATCTCATCAGCCAGATAGATATCCAAGTTTATCGCTTACAAGTGCTACCTTCCACCAAACATTTAAACATAATTCAGATAAGTTCTTTGTCACTGCATAAAAAGCATCGCCCTTCCTCCATTGTCCAGTTCACATGTTCATCATTTTCTTTTGAAGCCTCACCAGGAGCACATTTAATACCCACATTTCTAGCAACATTCTGTTGCTGGTGCCCTGTGCGTTCTCTAAGATGATAGAGACTTTCTCTGTAGCGCTCCTCATTTCCTTCTGAGCCTCACCAGAATTGCCTTCGATGTCCATAGTTCTACCAGTAGTCTCTTCAAGGCGATCTAGGCTTTTACTGTTTGGCACCTTAAAAATCTTCCAGCCTCTACCCATTATCCAATTCTAAAACCACTTCCACATTGTAGGTATTTGTTAGAGCAGTACCCCACTCCCAGTACCAAATTATGTCTTAGTTTATCTAGTGCTGTTATAATGGAAATACCACAGTTGAGTGGCTTTAACGAACAGAAATTTATTTTCTTGTAGTTTATGAGGCTAGAAGTCCAGATTCAGGGTGCTGGTTCTAGGGAAAGGCTTTCTTTCTGTATCTGCTCTGGAGGATGGTCCTTGTTTCTTTAAACTTTTGCTCTTGAGTGATCTTCATGTGGCTTGGCATCTCTCTTCCCTCATCTTTGCTCCACTGGCTTGCATATTTAAACTCTTATATGTCAAGAGAGATCGACTCAAGATAAACCCTACACTAATCTAGCCGCATTAACATAACAGATGCAACCCATTTCCAAATAGGGTTATAACCACAGGCATAGAGGTTAGGATTTATAACATATTTTTAGGGGACACAATTCAATCCTAGCAGTCATTTAAAAAGGTAGGAAAGAAAGAAAAGACCAAAATCA